CTTCCTTCCTTCCTTCCTTCCTTCCTTCCTTCCTTCCTTCACCGACGGTATTTGTGAATATTCTGATACTAAAATGAGGCGAAACCTGTCACTATTAGTCATATGATATATGATTGAGTCTGTAATCAGAGGTGTTTGACTAATTTAAAACGGTCGCGGTGTCATTATGTTAGCCGCACTTTGCGTGTTGTTTCCCTAGAATATCAATACTTTTTTCATGATTCGAGCCTGCGTTGTACGAGGCCCAAGTCATGCAAACTTCTGTGTTTACTCGCTTGAATCGGAGAATCTAATTCTTGCATAACTGAAATTATTGTCAAGTTGGGCTCCATAACCTAGACCTTTCTATTAAAAACCAGGTCAAAATCAGCCAGAAACTTTATTTCAAAGCAAAATTTGAACCAAAGTATTTTGTTTGCTTAATGTTCTTTCTATCATCGTTTAGTATTGTCCTTGATGTCTTTACTGTTCTTGTAATGCTTTTTCCCTTAATCATTTGCTATACTTAGTGTTGCTTACTATTGTCCCTCAGTCACTGCCCTCGAACATTTTAATCTAATTTCTATATAAAATCTTTACACCAATTGTTTTCAATACACGTAGTCGAATATTGATACTAATGATAAGCTAATAACTCTATCAATATTTGAACCTCTCCATTAGTTACAAAACCAAACACTTTAGTAATATTCCAATGAGTTGAAGTAGCCAATTTTATATAGACACAGGAGGACCAACATACCGAGGTTCATATACCATACGATTTCGAAATAAAATCCTAACTACAAAACAAGACAAAAACCTGAAAATACTAAAAAAAGGGAAATTATGGATTTCAGCTGTTAATTAACGAGTGTAGCGGACTCGAGGCAGTGCGTGACAGCTGATCGTGACTGGAGCTTCCACGCATGACCAATGGATAGATCTAGAGGCATAGGCATGCAAATCGAATACTATCGTAAAGACCATGAATCAATATTTTTTCTTTAGTTAATTCTTTCTTTGATGTAATTACGTAAATACAGACAACAATATACCCTTTAAGCAAATAGTGACCTTGAGAGCTTGGAAGTTCAATTATTTTGATCGTGATTATTGCCTCTTCGCTTGATTGAACGACCGTCCTGTACCAGGAAAGTATCATGCAATGGCAACGTCAATAATGTATTGTTAATAACTTATATCATTTAAAATATGCTGTAAAATATAAGTAAAAGAAAGAAGAAAGATATTCAAAATCTAATGTTTTTTCTTTTCGCTAAATACAACCGGTGAAACGCAATGTAGTTCAAAACAAGCCGTTTCAGTTCAAACAGAGTTTTCTTTGGATGATTTTAGCCAATTGAGTTTATTCAGGTACTTCAGGTACTTATCAAATTTGTGGTATCTATATAAAGTTATGTCATTAAATTCAGTCAAGCAAGAATTCGCCGGACTGACCCTCAAGAMTGAAAAGTAAGTTGTTTCATCTTTTCACGGTGTATAATTTACCTTTTCATCATTACTGTTTGAAAAGTAAACACAGATGTTTGCATGACTTGGGCCTCGAAACAACTCGGGCTTGAGTCATGCAAAAAGTACGATTTTTTAGGGAAAGAACACGCAAGGGGCGGCTTACATCACGACAAAAAGCAACAACAATGCCAATTGAATTCCTTGTAATGATTAGCCATTCCAAAACAAACAGCAGGGCCATGTCAACACTCCATGGAATTTTTTTCTGCTCTGTTTTCGAATCATTAATTATAAATAATCCGAATGTGATGAACTTGCTTTTAGAAGAAGTACTTTCGTTTTTTAAACACATAAAAAACGCCGTTATGAGTGGTGGTGAAGCCAAAACAAAAAGACAACGCTATATAGCGAACTCACGGAACTGTTCGGTTCAAACAAGAAAAAAAATGCCAATCAAGTTGCTATCCTAATATAAACCTTGCATTCTAAATCCTCGAAATTCGATCTCTTAGCCTGCAAAACTTAGAAATTCGATATTTTATAATCAAAGAAATATCCGCTAGGCAAACGATGATCAAACGAATTGTTTTTATCGGCGGCCATTTTGAAAGAGGCCGCTGCAAACCACGTGACATTCTGTTTGGCGTGGTTACATTTCAAAATGGCTGTCTTGGGGTTTTACGAAACAATGTGCAAACAATAAACTAGAAAAAACAACTAATTAATAAGTACTATTATACATAAAAAATCAATAAAAATATATTCTTCTTCTTTAAGAAGTCTTGCCGACTCTAAAGTTGCGAGTACACGGAGCAATTCAAGTTATCTGCAACTTGTTTCGTAACGGACGTTGCAGAGGAAATTGCTGGTGTGATTTTCCCCAAAATGTTTAATAAAAAGATTAAAAACTGTAATATACTATAACAAACATTCTATTAGTAAGTCTAAAATATTAGTGTCTAGAATTGTGACTAAGAGTGGATCCACATTTTTGTACGGAATGTTTAAAAAAATAAACTTTGGTAAGATAAAAACGTTATTTTTTTTGAAAATTTTATGTAAGGTTTATTTCCTTCCTTCGTTTTTCCGTTTTCCCCCCGTTCAATCCTAGCAAATTACAAATTTGATAAAGTCATTAATACGAACTAGCTGTCAACTGTTGTAGTTTACTGACAAAATTGGATACATTTTGTGTCAAAATGCTCTAACTTTTTCTGGTTCTCTGATCATCGACTAAAAACCCTGTAAATTTGGAACAAAAAAGTAGGAATTCGATAGAAATTCGCGTGCTTTAGCGTGCTTTTATAATGACTTCATATTTCGTAGGTTTCAAGGTAAGTCCATTTTCTGTCTTGACCGTCTTCTTCTTCTCCTCGCTAGAKTCAGCGCTTGTAAACTCGAACTGGTGAACCAGACTTGCCAATAAAAACGGCAGTTCAACCTCGGCTAGCGATCTACCAACACAAGCACGACGACCGGTAGAAAATGGCAGGAATTTGGGTAACCGYCTAGGGGATATCACGTGACCTTTGTCGTCAAGGAAACGGGTAGGATCAAAAACATCCGGGTCTTTCCATAGCTTTGGATCTCGTAKCACGGACCACAGGTTGACGAAAACTACGGTACCTGATGTTCAAAGACGGTCAAAAATGGTCAAAGGTATTTATTTTTCGAACATGAAAATGAAATGAAATGTAAAATTTGTAGAAAACAATTTTCTCTTGAGTTGTGTACCTTTAGGGATGAAGTAGCCACGAAAGATGACATCAGATGTGGTAGAATGAGGCACAGACAAAGGCGCCAAAGCACAGATACGCAACAACTCGTAAACACAAGCGTTAGTGTAGTGCAAATTGTCAAGGTCTGATACTTGAGGCATCCTGTGTCTTCCAATGACTTGATCAAGCTCTTCTTGTGCCTTCCTTTGTACATGAGGGTATTTGACCAAGTACGCAATGGCAAAGTACAGAGTGATGGAACTGGTATCAAAGCCAGCTCCAAAAAGATCGACAAGAGCCATGATAGAATCCAGGTCATCTGTGGGGAGACCTTCGTCTTCAACCAGGTTTGAGTTGCAGTCTAGTATTGGATTTTGTCTTTGCTTGTCCTTGAGATTGTTGACTCCTTCCAACAACGAATCAGCGAGATTACGAATGGTTCCTCTTTTGTATGAGGATTTATTTTCAAAGTACAATTTGCTGATGACGCTCTTTGCTTGATCCATGATGCCACTCAAGCGATCAAGTTGAGAATTGGGAAAATACTTCAACCAAGGCATGAAATCTATAGCTAAACCACATCCAACGGTCTCGCGGAACGAGTCTGAAAGAGCTAGGATTTTATCCACGTCTTGTTTGCAGTAATCGTCGCCGAATAGAGCTCCAAGTATGACTGTAGCAGTGGTGGACTTGAGTGCTGACATGACATCGTATGGTGTGGCTTGGTTGTTGTGTAGTTGTTCGATAAGGCGATGTCTTCCTTTGTTAAGAGTAGCGTACAAGACATCTTTAGTGGTGAGGTACTTGTGGATGGCAGAGAAGGACGTTTTACGTAATATCTGTTGACAAAGACAAAATGAAGGTAACCTAACAAATCGTTTTTGACGATTAGAAAGTCTTGAAGTTTGTCTTTAAATCGTGCATGGTTGTTTGTCGTCCAGGCAATCAACAGTAACAGCAGCAGCAGCAACAGCAGCAACAGCAGCAACAACAGCAACAACAGCAACAACAGCAACAACAGCA